CTAGAGCTAATCAATGAATTTGGTAAAGTAACAGGATACAAAATTAATGCACAGAAATCTTTTGCATTCCTATACACTAATGATGAAAAATCAGAGAGAGAAATTAAGTAAACACTCCCATTTACCTTTGCAACAAAAAGAATAAAATACCTAGGAATAAACCTACCTATGGAGACAAAAGACCTGTATGCAGAAAACTATAAGACACTGATGAAAGAAATGAAAGATGATACACACAGATGGAGAGCTATACCATGCTCTTGGATTGGAAGAATAAATATTGTGAAAATGACTATGCTACCCAAAGCAATCTACAGATTCAATGCAATCCCTATCAAACTACCAATGGCATTTTTCACAGAACTAGGACAAAAAATTTCACAATTTGTATTGAAACACAAAAGATCCCGAATAGCCAAAGCAATCTTGAGAAAGAAATACGGAGCTGCAAGAATCAGGCTCCCTAACTTCAGAATATACTACAAACCTACAGTAATCAAGACAGTATGGTACTGGCACAGAGACAGAAATATAGATCAATGGAATAGCACAGGAAGCCCAGAGATAAACCCACACACAGATGGTCACCTTATTTTTGATAAAGGAGGCAAGACTAAAGAATGGAGAAAAGACAGCCTCTTCAATAAGTGGTGCTAGGAAAACTGGACAGCTACATGTAAAAGAATGAAATTAGAACACTCCCTAACATCATTCACAAAAGTAAACTCAAAATGGATTAAAGACCTAATTGTAAGGCCAGACACTATCAAACTCTTAGAGGAAAACATAAGAAGAACACTCTATGACATAAATCACAGCAAGATCCTTTTTGACCCACCTCCCAGAGAAATTGAAATAAAAACAAATATAAACAAATGGGACCTAATGAAACTTAAAAGCTTTTGCACAGCAAAGAAAATCATAAACAAGACAAAAAGACAACCCTCAGAATGGGAGAAAACATTTGCAAATGAAGCAACTGACAAAGGATTAATCTTCAAAATTTACAAGCAGCTCATGCAGCTCAATATCAAAAAATCAAATAACCCAATCTAAAACTGGGCAGAAGACCTAAATAGACATTTCTCCAAAAAAGATATACAGATTGCCAACAAACACATGAAAGGATGCTCAACGTCACTAATCATTAGAGAAATGCAAAGCAAAACAACAATGAGGTATCACCTCACACCAGTCAGAATGGCCATCATAAAAAATCTAGAAACAATAAATGCCGGAGAGGGTATGGAGAAAAGGGAATCCTCTTGCACTGTTGGTGGGAATGTAAATTGATACAGCCACTGTGGAGAACAGTATGGAGGTTCCTTATAAAACTACAAATAGAACTACCATATGACCCAGCAATCCCACTCCTGGGCATATACCCTGAGAAAACCATAATTCAAAAAGAGTCATGTACCGCAATGCTCACTGCAGCTGTATTTACAATAGCCAGGACATGGAAGCAACCTAAGTGTCCATCGACAGATGAATGGATAAAGAAGATGTGGCACATATATACAATGGAATATAACTCAGCCATAAAAAGAAATGAAATTGAGTTATTTGTAGCGAGGTGGAGGGACCCAGAACCTGTCATACAGAGTGAAGTAAGTCAGAAAGAGAAAAACAAATACCATATGCTTACACATATATATGGGATCTAAAAAAAAAAAAAAATAAGGTTCTGAAGAACCTAGGGGTAGAACAGGAATAAAGACTCAGACGTAGAGAATGGACTTGAGGACACGGGGAGGGGGAAGGGTAAGCTGGGACGAACTGAGAGAGTGGCATGGACTTATATATACTACGAAATGTAAAATAGCTAGTGGGAAGCAGCCACATAGAACAGGGAGATCAGCTCTGTGCTTTGTAACCACCTAGAGGGGTGGGATAGGGAAGGTGGGAGGGAGACGCAAGAGGGAGGAGATATCGGGATATATGTATATGTGTAACTGATTCACTTTGTTATAAAACAGAAACTAAGACACCATCGTAAAGCAATTATATCCAATAAAGATGTTAAAAAAATAAAATAAAGTTTATAGCAAAACTAAAAAAAAAAGAAGAAAAATTATGAGGATTAAGTTGGTGCCAAATTATAGAAATTCTGAAACACAATGCCAAGGACTTTTGTCTTTGCTCTCTAGTGCAACAAGCAATGAAATCACAGAGCAAGAAAAGACAAATTGTTTATTTGAAATAAAAAAACAGTAAATCTCCTGTAGGACATTCATGTTATTACCCCAAAATGTATAATTTGCTTTTTCCCAGCTATGTTTAAGAAATCTATCTCATTCCTCACAGATGAAGTCCATTGATTCTCTGAGCTAAAATGTTTCTGTGCTGCCAATGGACAGGCCATGGGTAAGCAAAGGAATTAAGATGAATGAGCAGGGAGACAGGCTTTGTTTGCTTGTTTTTTTCCTACTAAAAACAAGCAAACAAACACAGATCTAGAACAAGAAAAGAACATTAAATATTCCAATGAAAAACACTGTAAGGATAGGGACTTTCTCCTTCCTCTGTAAAAAGTACAGTATATACAGGATGCTCAAAACAGACCGCTTAATAAATTTTGCAAGAAGAGGTGGAGATGACTCATGTTGTTTAAACTAGTCTGTATTATTGCCACAAGCATAAACATCAGGATGGAAAATTAAGTTCTTGGGAAGGCAAGTGAGGATACTGAGAACAAATCAAAGCAACTACCTCAACTCACACTGAAGACCATGGATGTCTCCAAAGACAGCTCCTAACAATCCCATCTTCCCATATACACATGCCACTCTTCCCATAAGAGATAGTGCTTTCACTTCCTCCTGTTGACCTGGAGCAGGGTTTGTAGTATGCTGATCTATAGAATGCAGAGGCAAAAGCATCCTAGTGACTTTGGAGCTCAGGCACTAAGAAAGCCTGTCAACTTCCATCTCTCCTTTCTTGGAGGCTTGAACCAATGGGTAAGAAATCCAGCCTCCCCTGACAGAGAGAAAAGCCACATGAATGGGGGCCTTAGGGGATTAGACACCACGTGGAGAGAGAGAAAAAGAAGAACTGAGGCCTCAAATACTAAGCCCTGAACCCAGACACCATTTGAACTACCACTACCTATGAGACCACAAGTGAAAATACTACAGAAATGGACTCCCTAACAGCCCCACCTGCACCCCAGCCAACCTATGGAATCATGAAACAGTAAAATGGTTGCTGTTGTTTATAGTGGTTTGTTAATAAGCAGCAGTACTTAACCAAAAAAATGAAGACGTGACCTGTGAGACCACAGGGAAGTTTCATAACTCTGGAACACAGTAGTTCTCTAGGAGCTAGAAACATCCTCTTACTACGAAGAAAAGTATTAGCAACCCCCTTGCTGTTTCTCTGTCTCACTGATGATGTGAGGTGGAAATCAGAGTAGGGTTGCAAGATGAAATACAAGATTCTTGGTTAAATTTGAATTTCAGATCAACGCAACTATATTTTATACGTAATTATGTTCCCATGCAATATTTGTTTGCTGTTAATCTGAAATTCAAATTTAACTGGTCATCCTGTACTTTGATTTGCTAAATCTGGTAATCCTACACACAAAGGATTGCTTTACTTTAACTTTTTTTTAAGAAAAATAATTATTCCAAAAGCTTTGGAGGTCTAAATGTACATCAGGTCTTTGTGCATAGCTTTGTTGAAGGGAATCTAGAGGGATGAGACCAGAATAAAAGACACAGTTGTTAACAGCTCATAGTAACAACTTTTCCAAGTCCTGGGAGGAGCAGATGGGGTAGAAATACTGAAGAAGGTAGAGAATGAAAGTAGTATAACTAACAGGGAGGACAGTCCTGAGGGTGAGAGTTCCTGAAGTGGGTGTAGGTTATGAGTGGATGTAGGTTCAGTCCCCTTCCTCCTTAGGTGGGTCACCTCACTACACTAACCTGCTTTCTCATCTGCATCATAAGACAGGTTGTGCTAAGTTCCTTCCAACTCTTACATTCCATGATTTTAAGTGCTGACAGTAGAAACAGAATTCCCATTAAGGCCATAAAGTTGAGAAGTTGGAATTTTCCCAGCCTTCAAAATTGTGCTTTTACACAGCTAATATTACCTGGCTGGGGATCCCTATTTATTCCACTTCCAAATCTACTTCTGAATTAAAAGATTGCTCAGGCCATTTTACTAAATCTTCCCGTTAAACTACAATAATATATTGCATTAATAGTTTATGGTTGAAAAGTTTTTGCCCCACTTTTATGTGTTGATAGTGACCAAGTTAAAGCTGTACATGAAAAAGAACTCCGGTTATTAAATAGTGGAAAGGAATGGAAAGCAAAGGTCTTTGAAAATAGCTAAATCTTCATATTTCTGGAGGAAAAAATTTCAACTTGTGGCATAACACTAGACTTCTAACTTATTTAATGAAATCCTTTCTAATCCTATGTTCCTGATGACCTAAGGTTAAAAGTAGCCTTAACTTAAACAGAAACTAATTTTTGAAGCATCATGGCAAGAGTTAGAAGGGGAAATTGGTAGGGTCTCTGAATTGCTAGCTGTTTGCTCTAAGCATTTGGATAATAAACTCAGTTTTTAATGTAATAGAATCAATTTACCAACATTCTCTAAAAATTTACTATGTACTAGGCACTCAGAGGCATTTCAGCCCTATCGTGTATTATTAATTCCATGTTACAGGTTCAGAGAGGCTCAGAAAGGTGCAATCTGTTCCTGAGGTCACACAGATGATGATGGCAGGGCCAGCATTTGAATGTAACTCTGCCTAATATTAAGTCCCTTTCTTCTATCTTACGTTTGCCACAAAAACAGCTGAGGTACGTAAATGTGGAAAGTATATATTTATTGTTCTTGTTTTGTGTTCTAAATTAATTTAAAAAGGAGAAAAAAAGGTTCCTTTTGCTTGGTGTTTGTCTCCACGTTTCTCTCCTCACTCACCTGTCTGCGAAGGTCTCTTGTCTTCTTGCACATGTTTTCTATTGCAATATTCAAGGTATTACTCCTTTCCTTTTTTCCAGTCTGCAAGGGAGAAAAAAAAAGTGGCATAAGCAATGGTATCAAATTACTCTTTATCGCTTAGCAATTTGCTTTCTAAATTTCCTGAAAATAACAGCTTGAAAATTCAAGAATAGGTCTCAAAACTGCTATGATATTGCATATGATTCATGAGTACTTCACTTAAGAGTAAGTCAAATGCTGATTAAAGTTCACATTATTTTCTTCTTTAAGCTTTTGTAATATTTATGATATAGTGCTGGGCTGCATTCAGTATGGCAGTAGGCAGAGCATTATCTCCAAGAAACCCTGATCTTCACTCTTTACAAGTCGACTCTTCAACCACTAAGCATGCAATTAGCTTAAAAGCATTAGATGCCCAATTTGTCAACTTCTGTGGGAGTTTCTGAAGTCATTTTCATGGTGTATTGTGTAAGTTATGCAGAGCCATATTGGAGCTTTGCTAACACTAAATAAAATATGCAGTGCAAATTCATACAATTTGCAAAAGTTGACCACAATTTTAGCTGACAATATTCCAAGAACAAATTGTTTCAAGTAAAAACTGGACGCTGTTTTTGGCTCTTTGAGATAATTTGTGCAACACCTTTAAGCAGAACAGTTCTCTCTGTTATATCCTTAACCTAAATCTTTAGGCTATTAATCACACTGAGAGTCACCTTGGTTGGTATTTTCTACATATTACTTTTGTGGGAGACAACTGAATTGAATCTAATCATACTTTTTCAGTGATACCTTATATAAAAGAGATTGAAAAAAATCATTATGCGATTCACCTCCAGGAATATTGCTACCATTTAAAATAATAAACTGAAAGAGCTCTTTAGAGGAGAACCTGAAAATCAGGAAGGCAAGTTTTAAGCAGCTGATACCTGAGGGAGTTTATAGCATGGACTCTGTGAAGAGGGACATTGAAACAAAGTATAGACCATTAGGCAGCATGCCATACACTACTCCCAATGGCTAAACTCACACATAAATCCATACCTTCAAGTGGAAAGACTCCTTTATAAGAAATTCAAGACCATCTATTCTCTATCCTAATCTATGTTTTTAGTCCTATCTTCTGCCACCTCTTCTCAAGTACTGTCCTTTACAGTAACAATATTTCTATACATTTCTATCTCTTCTCCCAAGTTCTTACATATAATGTACCTTTGACTACAGCAAGTGTCTCCCAAAATAACTCCCTATTAAAATCCTACCTGTTTCTCAATGGTTTCCATGCAGAGTTATCCCCAACAACTCTGCTCAAAAGTAAACCCTCACCTCTCCTTTTCCAATAGCGTTTTGAAAATTTCCTAAAATGCTCATTTAGTTTCGTACATGCTCATCACCTTTATGATATTGTTAAAATCTTGATGTTGGCAAGTATATCTTAATTTTTTTTATTCCTGAAAGTAACATGTATAGAACTTATTAAATAGTGTTGACTAGTTTATAAGTGAACAACTTGATTCAAAACACAACATAGTTTTACTAAGAACCTACTAGATTCTGGAAGAGATTTTAGCATCTGCTCAAGGCACAGCTAAATCATCTATTAGCTGAGGTTGCTGGTACCCACCTAAACTTCAGTTAGACCTAGTTTTTCTCAGCAGTAGCATTAATGATACTTATGATTGGAAAGTCACCATCATCTGAGCCCATTCTGTACACGGCAAGATGTGTGGCATCCATGGACCCCTGTCTACTAAATTCCAATAACAACGCCCAGGCACTATGAAAGACAAAAATTGACCCCATGCATCTCCAGATACCTCCTAAGGGGAAACACAGTAGAGGGCTATTAAGTCCTTTACCACATTTTCTTTTTGAGAGTGAGTGTGCAATGTGTGCATGATGGAGACTGTGTCTAGTGAAGGAAGCAGGGAGAAGAGGAAGGGAGGAATAGGAAAGAGAAATAAAATTCTGAATGTCATGGTAATAAAACAATGGTAGCAATTACTCGGATTGCCACCGATACACAATGGGCTGTACGACAAGTTCTCATTTTACCTAAAGAATCTATCCCTTATTCTCCAGTTTAAGGCACTGGTAGCTCTTGGTTTTCTCTTTCCACTTCACAAAAGCAGAGACAGTTCAAAGGAGGCAGGAGTAGGACAGACAAAAAGACACTTCCCACCCCCAACACACACAAAGCATCAGGAATAATATGAAAGACTTCTGTTGCGTTGGTCGTAAAAACTCAATAGTTTCTGTGATGTGATTCATCAAACAACTAAAAGATGTCAACCTTCGCAGAGCTAACAGCAATGGCACAGAAAACTTTAATAAAGGATGACAGGGGGTGACAGCATGAAGAGATTAAATAAGGACTATAAAGATGATTTCCTAATTTCTACACAGAGCTTCACCCTAGTTTAAAAGGTTTCATTGGGTCAAAGACATTTTGTTCTCCAGGTAATACAAGAAAGTCACTATCATTTCAAGAAGTATAGTTTTCCCTTCTCTCTTCCCTGCCTCTCCGCTTCCCTTCCCCACCTTTCTTTTTTTTTTTCACCCCCAGAGTTTTACTGGGTCCTTGCTCTATTTATCCAGATGTATTTGGCTCAGTCAAGCCATTTTATGCCTTTTTATTACTTTCGCATGGCATAAAAATAAATAAAGCAAGGAGAAATAGCCCCATCCTGCTTAAAAGCCCTCATTACTTCTGTTTTCAAAGCCTTAACAAATCATCAAGCAATGAGCTAGGACTGAAGGTGAATTCTGTGTGCTGAGGTAGGGGACAAAAAGGGCAGGATATTAAAACATAGCCACAGATAACAGTCAGAGCCTGCCTACATTTGCTCAGAAGAGAAGATGCTCCTCAAAGGAAGCCTTAACAGAAGCCATCATTAGGTCAGCATAGCCCTGCTAATGGAAAAGGTACCACTTACAGTAAAGGGCGGGGGCAAAAGAACTCAGAAAACACGGTACAGATCAGCACTGTATAGGGAAAGCACTCACATTCTTCATCAGTAAATAAACTGCCAGGAAAGGCTATATTGAAAAGAACAGTTCTGAGTATAGACTTCATTCAATGAAATCTCATTAAAACTATTATTGAATATTATAAAAACTGTCCCAATGTGATCTAGACTTATAATCTCAACTATGAGTCTTCCCATGAATTCTGCCTCACCATTGCTCCCATATAACTATCACAGTTAACGGCACTCTTTCATGTGGTTCCCTAAAGCTGCCCACACGTTTGGAAAAAGTCACTTTATAAATAAACTCTTCTTGAGTTATCTGAATTTGAGTGTTCCATCTGTTTCCTGCTGGGACCCTGCTGGATAACTTTCTAATACTGGGCTGTCCAATATGATAGCTACTGGTCATATGTGGCTATTCAAATTTAAATGTAAATTAATTAAAATTAAATAGCATTAAAAATTCAATTCCTCAGTTTCTTAATTTAAAGTGAGCAATGGCCACGTGTCTAGTGGCTACTATACTGTACAGCACAGATACAGAATACTTATCTCAGAAAGATGGATTAAACAGCACTGTTCTAAAACATATCTTTGTTTATTCAAATGTACAATGAGTTCCTATTTTTACATAAGTCACCTTTTATTTGAGAATAAAATAATGAGCAAGAAAAAAACAAAATCCCAACCCTCAAGATGTTTAGTAAAGAAAATCGAGATCTAATTCTGTCCCTTTTTTGTTCTGAAAATCTTCACTCTATTCCCATTGCTTGATCATAGTGTTCAAGGCCCCACAGGATCTACCCCCATATTTACTCATCAAACATTAATGAGATACCTTAATGGATCTTTTATTTTTTAGGCTATACAATCACAACTTGGGAACTCACAACAGGTGAGTGACAGATCTTTATTTCAAACACATCAGTCTGGCTGGAGTCTGCACAATGTATTCGAGGAGATTAAGAACAGAGACATGCCAAAGAGTTAGACAGTTCCAGCAACAGCCCACAGGAGAGATGAAAAGTGTGAAAATTCATGCAATGGCAGTCATGAAACCAAGCAGGACCCTGTGGGGCTCCTGGGCACAGAAGCTTTTCTGTGTCCCCTGTTTCTTGTTTCTAGGGAATAGATTCCAGCCTCCGTGAGCTGCCCTGATTTCCCAAGGGCAGATTCAAACAGTTGCTAATCAGGGAAGGGATGTGATGCAGAGACAAGGGAGGAGCAGTCAAGAAACAATAGTGCAGCCTTGGGGCAGGGCCCTGGTTCCCTCTCAAGGGATACATATAACATCTTTCAGCTCTTCTGCAGAACTAAAACCCCTACCAAAGGGAAGATGTTCCGCAGAGAAGGTCACAGTTTGATAACCTAGAGAAACTCATCAGGAGACCACCTGAGGCCAGATTAAAGGAACCAGAGAAGCTCCTTAGGAGACCATGTGAGGCCAGATTAAAGGAGTGCAGGCCCTGCACACACCCTGATCCTTAGCAGCAACTCTGCCCTTGGACCATTGCTATAAACCTCCTCACCAAATCCCTCTGGGTTGGGACACACGGTTTTGAGAGGCACAAGCCCACTGTGGCCCCCTTTGCCTGGCCAAGCAATAAAGCTCTTCTTTTCTACTCCACCCAAAACTCTTGTCTCCAAGATCAGATTCAGCACTGGTGCACAGAGGCTGAGTTTTCAGCATCAGTCAGGATGAAGATGATAGACTTAAGGACTCTGAATGAGTAATCTGGGTAGGATGACACTGACAGATGTTGGCGGGTGAAGAAGAGAGAACAATCTCTCTCACTAGACTTTACAGTCCTTGAGGGAGAGAAACTTTGCACATGTAATTTATCCCTCATAGCGTCCAGCACAGTGCTTGGCACACAGTAGGAGCTCAGAAGTTATTTGTTGAGTAAATAGAGGAAAGAAAGATTGGATAATCTTTGGCAAATCTTTGGCAAATCTCATAACATTTCTAGACCTTATTTTTCACACCCACAAAATGAAGATTTGCCCCAAATTGTTCCCATATTTCTAACTCACATTCTATGAAAGGGCCATGTTCTCTTTTAAAAATTATAGAATAATCTGTTACTT